GATTACACGCTGGACGCTCGCTGTCGCGTGGCTCTCATTTTGGGCCACTTCTCCAGTTTCCTCTTTGCTTGAGAAAATACCTGACCAAACAGGAGAGATCACTGGGCATCAGAACTCGACCGAAACAACAGCGGCAGAACTGTTGAACGAATTTGCAGGAGAGGAAGATGTCGCCTCAATAATGGCAGATTACGGCAATTCGACCGTACCCAGCGTGCTTATCAGTAGAGAACGCGATGACTGTCATCATGCGAGCGGAGCCAGCGCAGAAGTTTCAGCTGGTGGTGTAGGGACGTTCTTGCACGCTCCTGAAGAAACAAGTACGACTCCTGTAGTTATAGTTGATGAAACCGGTCGATCATTCGGCCCTTGCCCAAAATCCGTCCTCCAGAAAAAGCCGTATTACGGTAGCAAAGCAGCTGTTGCGGACATGCATGAGGGGCAGCCCATCTCTCTGGGAAGCGTCAAACAAACAGTGGACCTGACACGACTAGGCCTTGATCGACAGTTTAATGAAAAGGCATATGAGTCACTGAAAGTCTGTAACAACCTTTTCTTCTCGGGAGGCGAAGGTATGCGCAATTTTTCCGATCCTGCTTGCGTTGTCGCCCACCTGGATGAAGCATCACTAAGCATTAGGACCCTCGACAAAGCAAGTCTCCGAAAGCTCCACCCCAGGCTAAAAGCCGCACTTGTTCTCGCATCAAACCTCACTTTGAGGAGACAAAAAAAAAGAATGGATCCGTAAGCTTACTTCCTCAAATACCTTGCATTTGGCTTGGCACGTCGTCGAAACTTTCTCAGAAATGAACGTGAGCATGGTGGAGTCTAATGTTGGAGAGGCTCTAAATAGCATTGTCATGAAGGATCTACGTCTTCTCCAGCCCTTGAAGGATCTTATTCAATTCGGTTTGTCCCCCACATTGCACATATCCTACAGCCAATCTTAGGCATGATCCCTAAATCAGCTGAGCAGTGGCTGCGTTTTCTGTAGATGAAGAATGCTGAATAGCCAACTTCAACATCCAGACAAGCGTGAGCGAGCAGTACTGTTTTACAATGTCCTCCTGATGACACTGCAGCTACTACGTGCACTACGTATGAAGAATACCCCGAAAAATCTCGGCAGGACACGGTGCGTTTCCCCAGCCCCGACAGCCCACAGTACAAGACGTATCCTAAACCCTAAACCCTAAACCCTAAACCCTAAACCCTAAACCCTAAACCCTAAACCCTAAACCCTAAACGCTAAACCCTCAACCCTCAACCCTAAACCCTCAACCCTAAACCCTAAACCCTAAACCCCCTAAACCCTAAACCCTAAACCCAAAACCCTAAACCCTAAACCCTAAACCCTAAACCCTAAACCCTAAACCCTAAACCCTAAACCCTAAACCCTATCCCTAAACCCTAAACCCTAACCCTGAAGGGCGAAATGTTGCACAGCGAAGTCAACAAACTGTTCACCAACGCGGGGGTGTTTCCCGCGCCCTGCATAAACCCTAAACCCTAAACCCTAAACCCTAAACCCTAAACCCTAAACCCTAAACCCTAAACCCTAAACCCCCCTAAACCCTAAACCCTAAACCCTAAACCCTAAACCCTAAACCCTAAACCCTAAACCCTAAACCCCAAACCTAACCCCAAACCCTAAACCCTAAACCCCCTAAACCCTAAACCCTAAACCCTAAACCCTAAACCCTAAACCCTAAACCCTAAACCCTAAACCCCAAACCCTAAACCCTAAACCCTAAACCCTAAAGCCTAAACCCTAAACCCTAAACCCTAAACCCTAAACCGCAAAACCCTATGCTTCAATTCTAAACTCTAAACCCTAAGTCCTAAACCCTACACGCTCAGCGCTACATCGTAATGCCTAAAATGCTAGTTGATGGTAATCGTCTTCTAATAGATTGTTTCAATGTTTTATTTTTTTTGCTACAACTGCATTGAATTCGATCAATAGGCATTGCGGCGACATCGTCATTACTGACTCCCGCCTTGTGAATGCAAGGACGTTTGCTGTAATTGATGCGAGAGGTGCAAAGCCATGTAATTCATATTTGAATTCCCGTGTATATTCTGTGAATTGAGCACGAGAAAGAACCCCAATCATGCTGCTCAGCCCCCGCTAAGAGTGCTGCATAGCCTAGTACGGAGTCTGCTTATCTATTACCAGTAATGGAACCTTAATGCAGCTGAATGCACCAAGTTACAACACAAAAATTCAACTCAAATATATAGCCCAGGGAATAAATACAGTGAGTCGGTGTGTCTGTAGACTTGCCCATGCCTAAGACGGGTTGACCATTGACAACGCCTAATACTGTACAAAAGTTTGACCCCAACTGCCAAAGAAGGACACGTTTTATGCGCGTTTATGGCTCTATGTGAATTCAGCTCTGCATAACAAGCTCTGCATAACAAGGTTGCAGCGTCGTAGATCCATTCCCTTTTATCAGATCCAGAGTAGAAACTGAGTTAACGGGCTGCCACTGCAGGCTTTCACTGTAATATCATTTTCCCCCAAAATCTCCCAAACGTAGGCTTACGATGAGCTGAGCTGAAGAGACATTTTGAAGCGTCTTGTCACGTACGTAATAGGCGGGCGGCACGGCTAGTTTGCGAGCTTGGAATGACTGGCAAGATGCAGGAGACACTGATATCCCATAAACACACTATTCGTGAAATGATATTTTATGCTGTACATGACACTGGAAAGTAGAACTGTGCGCTTAGCTTTTCGGAATTAGTCTCCACTGTGCGTTGGGGAATTAGTTTCCAGTCTGCGTTGGCTAGCACCGTGAGGCTCCAGATCACCAGGTCACTGTGACAACGCGGCTGGACGGTTCATTGAGGATCACGGGAAGGAAAGAACATGCCTCCCTGTAAAGGACTAGCGTTGAATTGTTTTAAAGAAAGACAACGCGTGCCATATTTCTGCGTTGCCAAGTATGAGCTGCTTGTTGTTTATAATGCCCGCCTGCTTCCTTGCTCCTACTGGAGCCAACGCCGTCGTCGAAGCAGAACATCAATCTCAGATCACAATGAGCACTTATACTCAGGAAAATGAAATACCGGTGCAGCATTATAACCTCCCAGGGGTGATGGGAAAACGTCACAACACTACTTCTTTCCTCACTGCTCTGGCATTGTTGTCAGTCTCAGTGGCCGTGGGATTCGTCATCATGCACTGCTACATGTCCTTAAGGCCTTATTCGCTTGGAAAAATAAACGGTCCACGTGGGCGGTCTTTGTCAGCTGGCGGCAAATTTCCTTGTTCCGTAGGTCTTAAAATTCGAGCATCCATGCGGGCGGATTTTGGGGAGAGCAGGGCAGTATTCCAACAATCTAGCAATGCATGTGCTCTTCACGAGATTTTCCCTGAAACGTAGCGTATATCGGTTAAATTTGCTTGCTACACTGGCAGCAGCTATCTAGAGAAAACGTTGTTACCCATTCGGGGCGTAAGGTTGAACTACCGGCTCTCAACATGATGAGATAGCACTGTGTCCGCAGTCTGCAGCCCGCCTTTCACCAAGTATTACATGCTAGAAGCTGGGATTTTGTGAAGCCACTGACGTTGGAAGAAGCAGTGTCACGTACACAATGTTAATTCTCTATTTACGCCGGCGACTGTGTCGTTTCAGGGCCAGGTAAAGGTTGTCGTACGTGTAAAATTGATAATTGGCTCTGCGACATCCTTGACAAAAATTCTAGGCAGTGCTGCCGAAGATTCTCCACGTGCGTTTGCAGAATGAGGCAAAACAAACCAGTTTTGGAGAATGCCGCAGGGCAGATAAAGCAGCAGCATAATACCGGTTAGGCCGTTAACTTCGTGAGACCAACGCTACTTCCCTTGCTGCATGGAGTGCTTCCTGCTTTGCGGAAACATGGAATGCGATCGGGTCTTTGTGGTCTTCCGGAAGGCTCATCAACTCTTCAATGGCTTTCCAGCTTTGTTGCTACTAAAGCATCCTATGCCACACTCCATGCAAACTGGACATTTTCCCTTGGCGTTCTCTCTTCTGCGCAAGAGTCACTCACGGGACTGCCACTTCAGGCCTTGGGTCAGTAGTCAGCCTTTTTATTATCGCAGTAGCAAGAAAAGCCTATCCTGTAACCTTAAAATGCGTGTTGTGGAATAATTTTGTCACGTCTGTTGCCTATGTAGCGCCCGTAAACATCTGAATGGTTTTCATGATTTGCTTGAAAAGCTTTCGACAGGCCGCAGTTGGCAGCCTGCTGGGCTGGTTCCAAAATACTTTCCACGCATTACAATATCAACGTATCGCTCAAGGTATTGGTATCAGTGCACTTTGACGCATCCCATTTCCTGCTTCATGCAGACCTTTGGAAAATCGTGGCTCTGTGCAAAGGCTGAAGAAGGAAAATGGCAAGGTGGCGGAAGTGCATGAAGATGAAATAAAAATATGGAATATCAAGGAGGGCTTGGTATTGTCAGTGCAAATTTAGTGACGCTCACTAGTTGAAAAGGTGTTGAATCAAGGTATAAACTTCCACACGTGCAGCGAACGGGATTCAAATTGCTAGCCCAATGAAACTCACGGATTTATATCTCTCCATATTAGCCCCTGTACTGCTACTCCCAACATTGTTCCTTCCTTAAGATTCCTTTGCACCCTGAAGTTTTCGATTTGTTGCTGCCCAATGTAGTTGTGTTTTCGGTCTAAGTGAGGTTTCTGAAATAACTGGCGAACCACGGAGAAGTGCGTGGGGCGTACGAATGAGCTCTATGGCTATGCACATGCACCACGCGAAACAAAAGTCGGCATAATGCCACGTACGTCAGTGCACTATGATACCTTGCACCGTGGAACGCAATACAGCGCGTCCACACATGCTGCAAACAAAAGGCGCCACAATGGCTGCATCGATTTCACAACGTTAAGTCTTAATACTGTCATGGCATTTACGTTGCAAACTTAGCCCATGCAGTTACTCAGCAACAGCGCAGTCTGAGTTTCCTCTGGTGCTCCTGCCTTCCTAAAAGGACGTTTGAAGCGCCAACACGGACTAAAGAATAAATCTACGAGAAAAGGTGCGCATTCAAAAAACGTTGCTTAACTTCATTGCTTCTGCCTCATGGACGCAAATTTTTACACTAATTGTGAAGGCAAACCATCGCTGGCCTTAGAAACACCGGAGAGTGCCTTCGCGCCTCTTGAAACGCCTGCTTTAAAGTGACGGACAAGATGCGGAGCGGATTTTGTGCGTCCGCTGTGGTTGTCTGCGAGCTGGAAGACCTTGAGGGGAGGGTTCAATGCGAAGTGCATGCCGTTGCTAAAAGGTGTGAGAACGCTCACTTGTGGTGCCGTTGCCAGTATCTGTGCTGACAGAAACTTTGCTATGGGGGTTGCGTATGGCTTAGCAAGTATGTATTACTCTAGCTCTAATATCCTGATGGACCGATGGGACATTTGTCCAGTGCGTTGGACGCGCAGTAGGAGTGCGAAAGTGTGGGCCCAATTTCCGGACGGATTAATGCCAACGCCCGTGGCAGCACATCTTGACAAGATTCGGATTTTGTGCGTCCGCTGTGGTTGTCTGCGAGCTGGAAGACCTTGAGGGGAGGGTTCAATGCGAAGTGCATGCCGTTGCTAAAAGGTGTGAGAACGCTCACTTGTGGTGCCGTTGCCAGTATCTGTGCTGACGGAAACTTTGGCTGTGTGAGTTGCGTATGGCTTAGCAAGCATGTATTACTCTAGCTCTAATGTCCTGATGGAC